GTGATGGGGTGATGGGATGAAGGAGTGATGGGATGATGGAGTGATGGAGTGATGGGGTGATGGAGTGATGGGGTTATGGAGTGATGGGGTGATGGAGTGATGGGATGATGGGATGATGGGATGATGGAGTGATGGGGTGATGGAGTGATGGGGTGATGGAGTGATGAAGTGATGGAGTGATGAGGTGATGGGATGTTGGGGTGATGGGGTGATGGAGTGATGGAGTGATGAGGTGATGGGATGTTGGGGTGATGGGGTGATGGAGTGATGGAGTGATGGGGTGATGAGGTGATGGAGTGATGGCGTGATGGGGTGATGGAGTGATGGGGTGATGGAATGATGGAGTGATGGGGTGATGGAATGATGGAGTGATGGGGTGATGGAATGATGGAGTGATGGGGTGATGAGGTGATGGAGTGATGGAGTGATGAGGTGATGGGGTGATGGAGTGATGAGGTGATGGGATGAAGGAGTGATGGGGTGATGGAGTGATGGAGTGATGGGGTGATGGGGTGATGGAGTGATGGAGTGATGGGGTGATGATATGATGGAGTGATGGGGTGATGGAGTGATGGGGTGATGGGATGATGGAGTGGTGGGGTGATAGGGTGATGGGGTGATGGAGTGATGGGGTGATGGGGTGATGGAGTGATGGGGTGATGGGGTGATGGAGTGATGGAGTGATGGGGTGATGGGGTGATGAGGTGATGGAGTGATGAGGTGATGGGGTGATGGGGTGATGGGGTGATGGAGTGATGGGGTGATGGGGTGATGGAGTGATGGGGTGATGGAGTGATGGGGTGATGGGGTGATGGAGTGATGGAGTGATGGGGTGATGGAGTGATGGAGTGATGAAGTGATGGGGTGATGGGGTGATGGAGTGATGGAGTGATGAAGTGATGGAGTGATGGCGTGATGGGGTGATGGGGTGATGGGGTGATGGGGTGATGGGGTGATGGGGTGATGGGGTGATGGGATGATGGAGTGATGGAGTGATGGGGTGATGGGGTGATGGGGTGATGGAGTGATGGGGTGATGGAGTGATGGAGTGATGGGGTGATGGGGTGATGGGATGATGGGGTGATGGGGTGATGGATTGATGGGTGATGGAATGATGGAGTGATGGGGTGATGGAGTGATGGAATGATGGGGTGATGGAGTGATGGGGTGATGGAGTGATGGCGTGATGGGGTGATGGGATGATGGAGTGATGGAGTGATGGAGTGATGGGGTGATGGGGTGATGGAGTGATGGGATGATGGAGTGATGGCGTGATGGGGTGATGGGATGATGGAGTGATGGAGTGATGGGGTGATGGAATGATGGGGTGATGGAGTGATGGAGTGATGGGGTGATGGGGTGATGGAGTGATGGGGTGATGGAGTGATGGGGTGATGGGGTGATGGGATGATGGAGTGATGGAGTGATGGAGTGATGGGGTGATGGAATGATGGGGTGATGGGGTGATGGAGTGATGGGGTGATTGGGTGATGGAGTGATGGGGTGATGGGGTGATTGAGTGATGGAGTGATGGGGTGATGGAATGATGGGGTGATGGAGTGATGGGGTGATGGAGTGATGGGGTGATGGGGTGATGGGGTGATGGGATGATGGAGTGATGGAGTGATGGAGTGATGGGGTGATGGAATGATGGGGTGATGGAGTGATGGGGTGATGGGGTGATGGGGTGATGGGGTGATGGGGTGATGGGGTGATGGAGTGATGGGGTGATGGAATGATGGAGTGATGAGGTGATGGAGTGATGGGGTGATGGAGTG